TCCTTGCAGCATGCAAAGAGCAACAGAAAACTCAGAACAGAAAGACCAATTAGGGATCCATGGGAACCTAACGATGTGCTCATTCAGGACTGCACTTAGTGCGCAAAGTAATTCATGGTGATGCAGAGACACTACTCACTGTGAATGAAAAGTTTACAGTTGCAGAACAGTCTTCAAACTAATTCCCTTCTTTATCGCCTCAGCTGATTAAACCAGAAGAACATCCCTTGAGTAATATCAGTTACGTAAAGCCATTGGTGATCATGCTGGCATCACAAGAAGGCCATGAAGCTCCCTCAGCATGTCCCACTACCAAGACTTCGTTTGGAAGAAATGGGCAGAAACCAAAGCACCCTCCAAGATGCTCCCCCAGTTTCTGCCCACTAATGATTTACATAGTCACACAGTAAAAGAGCAGGTCAGGAGAAGACAGGGACTTCAACATCAGTACCTTCCTGGAAGATGCTGTGCAGATTCAGGAAGATTAGATGCTCTTAGCTGCAGTCCTAGCAGATTTCTTCATTCTTTGCTGCTTTGATAAATCATTTATTAGAACAGCCTTTTTACATAATCCCTGGGGGAAAAAAAAAAAAAAAAAAAAAGAAGAAAAAACCCTCAACATCCCCCTCATAAAATAGATTTATCACAAAATCCTGTCCTCCTACCAACCATCTTCAGACCAGAACATATATTTCTTTGATTATTAATTAACTGATGCACAGAAACAGCTTCAAGCTTTTTAACCTCTTCCTTTCTCTTTTGTCCTTCAAGAGTGTAGATGACAATGCAGGGCTAGTGTTCAAAACACAGGTAGATTCTTGAGCAACTGTAGCACTATCATCATGCTTTGAGCCCTATAGTCATGGTCTCAAACATTAAAGCCATCCAGAAAGCAAGTATTTAATCTATTTTCTCAGTACATACATTCTGTTCCTAGTCATACCTGCCCATGGCAGGGCGTTGGAACCAGATGATCTTTGAGGTCCCTTCCAACCCAGACCTTTCCATGATTCTATGATTCTGTGATAAATCTGGCATAGCACCTTTAACACTGCTGACATCAACACAGAGAAACAAAAATGGTTAACTGCCAATAGTGTATATAACAACAACAACAACAAAGTCATATAATCTACCAGTAGATATTTGACCTCAAAAGATAAAGGAATATGATATTGTCAACACAGCTTGTCAGGTATTTGACCTGAAAAGAGAAAGGTATATGATACTGTTACACAGCTTGTCTGTCTGTCTGTCTGTGTATTCCTTATCACTGTGACATCTCAGCTCTCAGGATAAGCCATAGCTTTTCTTCTTTTTGGAGTCCGTCCAAATACCTTCAACAATATAAAATGCAACTGCACATAAATAACAGGAAGAGAGAGAGCCAAACACACCAAAAAATTCTGAGTATATCAAGCCCCCTGAAACTAAAACAGTCAAATGAAGTTACAGGAATTAGCTGCTCTGTCCTTATGATGTACTCACAAGGAAAAGGCATAATTACTGATATTTGCCCTTCCCCTTTCCTGTCACCTGTACTCCCACTCCAGCCTCTCCACCCTCAGCCAGTGGAATTTTTTATATTACAGTAGTGGATATCAGGACAAATAAGGAGAAAAAAATCCAAACAATCCAAATCTGGTCCAAATCTGTAGGCAACAAATACCAATATCAATAGAGTACAACTCCCAGTTTCATTATCTGCTCTAAATGAAATATAGTGAGCAAATGCACTTCTGATCTCTCTTATTAGTCCCATTTGTTAAAATGCTGTATTATTTACAGCTTTGCACAGAATGAGGAAATGGCCTTAGAATTCCATCTCAAAAGCAAAGTGATGACAAAAACTAGTGCAGCTTTGTGAGCTTATCTAAAGGCAAGGTTCTTGCAGAGGTACAGCTGTATCAGCATTCCAGCACCAGGGCTTATCATCCAACTAAAGGTCTAGTCTTGGCAAAAGTGGGCAAATAGTACACTTCCATCATACTTGGTGTCTGCTGAGGTTTGCATTCATGAGGAGTTTGATTCAGCAATTAACATCACTTTGGGTAGTGACTCACTCAGGCATTAGCCAGTTAACATTTTAGCTTGAGATGTCAGTCCCAACTGTGAAACCAGTTAAATCCCACAATCCCACAACAGAGGTACCTCCGTTTAAGCTAGCTGCCTGCCATCTTTGCAGGCAGCACTGGTCCCTACTACACAGCCAGTGGGACTTGATTAATTTGAACACAGCTAGGAGTGTCCTGAAAAAAGAGAGAAACCATGTCCTACACTCCACTGACTATATATTGGCTAGATCTCCACTGATTGTTTGAGGACCCCAAGGTGATTTGCTCACAAATGAATGCACATGCGGACACAACTGTAGATGTGCATGTTTAGTCAGTAGGACGTACCTTGCAATAGGACCAGTTACAAGAGTAGAAATCAAAGTTCGCAGGCAAGCTAGGTTCTCTAAAGACATGATATAAGCAATTATCCACTTGCAGCCAACTCAGCTTTGATATCTGGTAGCTGTGTATATATTAGTAAAGTAAACATACCCGGCACTTTCCCTTAGCTCTGGGGCCAGCTGGCATGGAATGGCCCACACCCAAACTATTAAATTCTTACTTTCCACAATATCATGGCCACATCCAAGCTAACTACTGAAAACAGCCTCTGTGCTGTGTTAATACTTAGACTTTGTCCAGGATTTTTTTGGAGTCAGGCACAAGCCAAAACTATGTCAGGGACCTTTCTAAAACTTCAGTGGTACAGATGACTGGGTTCCAGTTTCTCAGAACTTTCCTGGCACAGTTTTAGTTTACTGTTATAGCTGCAGCTGATGGGTCTTGGACAGGAGTATTAGCGGTCCAGAGGTGATTTTAAAAAGAACTGGCTTTCACCAGAGCCTATATTCAAAGATGTGAGGTAGCTAGACAGATAATTTCAAATTGAAGCTCAAGTAAAACATTTCTGAAGGAGCTGCCAGTAGTATTTAAAGACTGAATCAGCTCAGGTGAAATCAGGAGGTGTTTAGTTTGTTTCTTTGCTAAGATCAAATCGTAGGATCTTGTTGACTGATAGATTATTCAGCTAGTCAAATGTAAACTGGGAACATTAGCAGGTGCTTACTGGCTAATAAGCAATTGCAAAAACAGATCCATTACCACTGAATAATATCCCAGCTCATTACTCAACATAACTTTCCAGTTTTCTGTCTTGAGATTGATGACTGTTGTGAGGCTTGGACAACACTTTTGCTCACATCTTCAGAGCTGCAGTGTTGGTACCTCCTCCTTCAGGGGATTGGCAGGAAAACTGCATGGACAGGCAGTTACTTGGAGCCTTGGCTTCAAGAAGGGAGGACAAAGAGGGATGAGTGTTTAGTCAATGGGCCTCCCCCTTAAAACTACATCTGCTATACAGAGTAAACCTGTTATCTCACTTTGAGGCTAAGACCATTTTTTGACCACTCACAAACTTAATTAGCCCACGGCAGGGAGCACAGCTTTAATGCAAGAGTGAGAAAGTGTGCTTGCATATATGTGCATGTGTATGCCTGTCTTTCTCAAACACAAGCCACCCTGTGTCATATGTAAGACTTGCTTTCAAGGAGGAACTAGACCAGGGAGCAGATCCTG